AGAGTGGGTTTTTAGTCTCTATTATTCCCCCGTATCCCCATTGCACATTCATATCCTTGATATGATCTCTTGGTTTGTAGTGTAATGTCCCTGTCCTTTGACTTTGGACTCTGCTTGCGAGTGGCCTTGGGCAGTGGAGTTGCTAATGGAGATGGTGTGAGCAGAAGTTTGATATGTGTTCGTACCATTAGCCTTGCCCTTTATTTACCTGTCTTTGACTCTTCCTCTAAGGAGGAAGAGAGATGTGAAGTGAACCTTAACTCGACCTGAAGCTTGGAGCCCAGCCCAGCCCAGCCCAGCCCAGCACTGCCCAGTCCAGCTTAGGTCTGTGAACCCAAAGATGCATAAGCAAGAGCTAAATGCTTTATGTTTTTTTTAAAGATTTATTTATTTGTGCATACAGAACTGGGGTACAGGCCAGAGGTCCAGGGGCAGTGAGAAGACTCACCAGAGAGAGTAGGGAGCAGAACAGGCTGACTGATGAAGTACACTGCTGAGGGGAGCAGCGGGCGGGTCAGGAGAGGTCTGCCACGCCATGTGGGTCACCTTCAGGGTGGCGATTGAACTCATGCTGAAGTGGCTTTAGCTTCTTAGTGCTGTGCTTTAACCTGCTGTGCCACCAGGGAGGGCCCCATTCCAAACTTTTTACCTGAGAAACAAACACAAGAGTTATAGGTGGAGAGGGCAAAGCAAGACTCCTCATGGGGTGCATGAATTTTCTAAAAGGTCATCATTTGAGTACCTGCTTTGATATAAAAAGAAAGGTGTTTTTATTTGCCCCAGTTACAGGTCATTTCATGTTCAACATAACTAGCAACTAGATGACTTGGTTTTAGGGTGTGAGCTGCAGCTAACTCACTTTTTCTACATTTTGCTGTCTATATACAATGACTTTTATCTTTTAGCTACTTCATAGAAAATAACTTAAATAATCTTTCTTTTTTCTTTTTGTGAAAAAATTTAACCTCACAGAGCAATTACAAAGGGAATATAGAACACTTCCACACTCACCCTGCCCTCCTGCCCCCAGCACTCACATCTTGCAAAGCCATCATGTTTTTATCAAAACTAACAAGTTAACCTTGGTATCAAGTCACTACCCAAAGTCCTGCACCACAATTCGAATTATTTGCAGGTAAGTCTCCTTTACTGGTGGTGCTCTGTACACCTTACCGCATCAATGAGAGTGTCAGGCTGATTGCTCCACTTTTAATGATACTAAAATTGCTCATTGGATTCAGAAAACTTTTCACCTAATAGTATTTTTAACATTTATTTATTTATGCATACAAGAGCTGGGGAACAGACCAGTGATGGGGTGGGGGATGAGAGGATTCACCAGAAACACAGTGGGGAGCCAACAGGCAGATTGACTGAAATACACTGCTGAGGGGAACAGCGGGGGAGATCAGAGGTTGTTGAGGCCTGCCGCACGATGTGGGTCAGCTCCCTGGCTGGCTGGGGGATCCTCCTTTTGCTGCAGTGACGGAGAATAGCTTCATAGTGCTGCATCTTAACCCCTTGTGCCACCAGTGAGGCCCTCACCTAACAGTTTTAGAATTCTATAATAATTGTTACTGAAATCCACTATTTCATTAGCAATTGTAAATGGTAGCTTTTTAGTTGTATCATCCCTTCTGCATTCATTTTTTAGAATTATTGGTGTTTTGTTATAGGGCCCCTGAAACCTGATCCTTTCTTGTTAGTGAGTTAAGTTGGTCCCTCTTTGTTCTGAAAACCACAAAATGCTGGTCCTGGTGATAACCCCCATAAAACAAAGACCCGTGCCTGTGGCTCAGGACAGTTACCACCTCTCACCCTTTGTGGGATCCACAATAAGTGCTCTTTGCTTGAATCTTTGTCAAGGTTCCTCTCTAAATTCATTAATTCCTTTCATCATATCAATAAAGCCAGACAAGAAATCTAATGCTTTGGTGCTGAGTATGGTATAGTAACATATTTTAAAAGGTGAGGATTTTGAATCCCTGAAACATAAACAGTACTATAAACCAATGTTACCTCACTAAAATTAATTTAGTTTTAAATAATTTTAAAATTGGAAAAAAAAAAAAAAAAGGAAACTACTCCCCCATCATCTATTACCTAATACACAGGTCCTACAGGAAAAGCAAGATAAAGACTGAGACCTTCCTTTTTGATTTTCTGATCTTTCAATTGGTGACCAAAGAGGTTTTTTTTTTTTTTTTAGTGTTTTGAAATGCATGAACTTATATATCCTTGCTGCATTTCATTCTATTGTAGTCATTTTCTTTGTTACGTGCACATGGTCCCATCTTAGTCCAGTGAGAGCTACTTTAACTTGGTTCTTCTGTACTTTGACTCTGGTTGCTTCCTTGTACATCAAGTTTTCCCATGTTTACAAGATAAACTGACATAGACCTTTTCTTCCCCAGACCTTAGAGTCAGTAATTTCCTTAAACCAATGTCACACTCCTCTATGGGAATGGTATTTATGGGTCATCTCTAAATGCTAAGATATTCATTGCTCCCGGATGTCTTTGCTTCAAGGGGACAAGTCCAGGAAAGTTATCCATATTTTTTAAAAGAGGAGTTTATATGAATGAGTTTATGTTGACATTGATA